TCCCACCGGCCGGCTTGGAAGTCCAAGAGCCGCGAGCGCCACTCTGGCTTTGTGAGGCGGTGGGTGCCGGGGGGGCGGTGGAGCAACAAGCGGGGCAGGAGCAGCCAGAGCGCACCTGAGCGGGGGCATCCCCGGGCCGCGCGACATCAATTGCCCGAAGAGCAAACGAGAGCGCTGCACGGAAAGGTCCTCGGAGGAATTTGGGCGGGCACTGGAAAAAAGACAGCGCTGTTGAGGGAGCGCCTGCAAACCCACCTAGTCAAAACGGGCAAGGGCAGAACGAATTAGCTGTCTAGGTCCGGCATGCGCGGCAGGCCCGCTGGAGGGGTTGTGTCCGAGTCGGCCTCGAAACGCGCACCTCCATCAGGGCGACCCATGGAGTGAGCGGGGGACTGGGCGCGGGTGGGGCGCCGTCCGCCAGCGGCTGGGAGACTGGTCTGTTTCGAAGTTGTTGTTCCCGCTGCACGGTGGCTTCAAAGAAACGGCACTGGCAGCAGGCCCTCGTCCTTTCTGAGGTTGACGATGTTAGCAGCCCTGTGCACAGAAACAGGAGCAGCAGAACGATGATTTCCTCAGTTGCCTCACCAGGTCGGTCAAGTGGCGCTGCTTCAGGAACCATCTCGCACACAAAGGCATCTGGCAGCCACTTGCTAACTCTCCAGATGACATAAAAGACAGAACAAGCTCGCTCGGAAATGGGCGTTGTGGATCCGCCGCGTGACCTTCGCTATTATTTTCTTAATGGCTCTCTTGTCTCGGCTCTGCCAGCCACGAGGTTCTCCGACTCTTGTTTGGATATTTTTGATTTTTCTCCACGCCTTTTTTCCGCCTGCAGTTTTCAGGCAACAGCCAGCGGGCTTGCCGCAAGACAGCCGGCGATATCAGCCGTGTCGCGCGCCTGTTCTTTTTTCAGAAAAAAAAGTGTGATTTCGGCACTATCAAATCTGATCTGGCGGCACTTATTTGAGTCCGGCCCTTTCCATGAAATGTGCAACATTTCCATAAAAACCTGGCTGCTTCATCCTTCGCCGGATCCGTGAGTATCCCGGGAAAATTGAAAAGCCGAAGTTTGGAATGTTGCAAGATGCGGCGCGTAACGCTGCCCAAAAACATTTTTGGAAGACTATTGAGGACTGTTTGTTTAAGAGGGCCTACAAATTGCAAAATCACCTTTAAGCCTCTGCGTTCTCTAGGGCGAGGGTTGTGGGCTTTCCTATATATGTGGAAGGGCTAGGCGGGCTATCGTAAAGAATTTCATTTTTCCAATCGCCACCGACGTCGTCAACTCGTTCGACATGGTTCATGCAAGCCGCGTGCTGCCAGCGCCGGGCAGACACGCGCCGCCGCTCTCGTCAAAAAAAGGCAACGGGGTACAAAAGGCGATGTCGCTGGCGGGGTTTCACGAGGTTTGGCCAAGAAGCCAACAGAGTCAACGCGAGCCCTGCCGCTGAAGCAGCAAAGGAGTTTTCCGTGAGAAAGCTAAAAAAATTGGACTCGAAGTGGGTGGCTGAGCGCAAGCAAACGATAGCCGTTTGCAAAGCCGCGCGCCAAGCGCAAGAGTCGCTGGTTAGCAAGCGCCGCAGGAAGGGAGCTGGAAATTGTGGGGCCCAAGCTCAACTTTGAATAATCAAAGTCGCGACCGTCACGCAGCCCGTACGTCCGGCCAACGCAAAACTTGTGTGTTTATATTGGACGACTAAAAATATTATGAATTTTGGCCCGTGCAAGTCGTTGGGCATCGGGCGCTTCCCACAAAAAACGGCTGGAAGTCGTTGCCCGCGGCTTGCCTGTGTGTGGGGGGTCAGCGGCTTGCAGTTGACGCCGCCTTTGTGTCGCCGTCGACCTGGCCCTACCGGATGGGTGGCCGCGTCGCTCGTGCAAACGTTCGCCGCCGCGAAAAGCGAGCTCTTTCGATCTGCGAGATGCCGCTTGGCCGTGCTTGACATCGAAGTCGGCGGCCGTTGGAGTGACGAGGCCGCCTTTTTCGCGCGTTCACTTGCGCGCGCTTGCGGTCTGTGCTCATCGCGCGCTGGCCCGCGCTCCTGACACACGTCGCGATGTGGGCCTTCTGCAATCTTGATGGGAGTTTGCCGCTTCTTCGCGAGCTGCTTGCGGACAGCAGTGCTGGGCCCCCTTTTGCTATCCGGCGCCCAACATTTAAAGCAATACTTGGAGCAGGCCGGCTTCGATTCTCTCCGCGCCGTGAAGCCTCGGCTGTTTTTTTTCTCAGCTGCCTGCGCAGCAGCGGGGAAACCTGGTTGATCCCGCCAATGGTTGTTTTCTTTCCTCACGTTTTTTTCCGTCTGCCCGTGCTCACCCCCGACAAGCCCCTTTTTTAAGGGTGCGCCCACGCACTGGAGGACGTTGGAGGACTTAGGCTGTGGCTGTGGAGGCTAGCCTCCCCACATGCAGCGCTGTTGCTGACCCGGTCAGCGTCCGGGCACAGGCAGCCGACTGCACTCGGGCGCTTCGGGGTACCGGAAGTCAGCAAGGACGTCGCTGACATCCGGAACGGGCCCGTCGCTGACATCCGGAACGGGCCCGTCAAGGTTGTGCGCGCCGGCTCCGGGCAGGGCAAGAAGGCTGGTGGCGTCTGGTGGCATACGCCCGCGCGGCGACAAAAAAAATGAGGGCCGACATACGCTTGTCTCAAAAGTTGAGAGGGAAGCCAAACCGCTTTGGGGTTTAGGGCTGGCCGGGCGCCCAGCCCCGTCCAGCTTTTTTGCATGCAAGGAGCTGGCCTCCGTAAAAACAGCCGCCAAAACCCTTTGTGCCCAGGGGCATCCCCTGACCTGCTTTTCCGGGAGGGGGGGGGAGGCCCATGCAGTGGAAAAAGGCGCGTGGATTTTATTTCAAAAATCAGGCACACTTAGGCGAGCCTTTCCAGACATGGCCATGGCCAAAAGTTGAAAAGGGTGTTCTTCTGCAGCTTCTGCCTGGTTCCCGTTTTGAGATCAGCCTGCAGACAGCTGCGACATCATCCAAGTGATCGCAGAGTGGAAAGGCCGGAGTTGCGAGACTGTGTTTAAACCTCTAAAACTTGAAAGCCAAGCCAGGCCAATCATGATTGCGTCAAGCTATGGTGGACTACATCGGCAACAAGGGCAAGGGCAATGCCAAGGACAAGTTCAACAAAGGCTCGAAACCAGCCACGTGTTGGCACGAGGCGCCCCGGCGCGGTTAGCTGCGTCCAGGGACCTCCAAGTGCCAAATGTTCAATTGCAAGTGTTTGCTGCCATCTGGTTGGGGCCACGGCGCTTGGGAAGGGCTAGTGCCAAAACCCGCGGTCGACCACAACCGCGTCTAGCGTGCTGGCTGGGACAGGCGGCGGACACGCCAGTCTAGACACCGTCTCATCTAAGGCAAGGAGAAAGGGCCCGCCTTGCACCCTGGCAGGGCAGTTGCTGGCGAGCGAGGCTGAGCATGCGCTTGTGGTCGCTGATAAGGCGGCGTGGTGTCCCCGCTGCGCGGCTGGCGGGTAAGCGGAAGTCCAAGTCGGCTGACGCAAACGCAGAATGCGCATCGCAATCAGAGCTGGCATCGTGGGCTGCCACTGAGGAAAACGTGTCGGCTGTGCGGCGTCAGGATGATCTGGCTCTCATTCTGGTGCCGGTTTGTCCGGGCTCGGAGCCGGAGGGAGGACGCACCCTCCTTGAGTGACATCCTCGCGAACATGCCGGACGCCCCCACGGGAAAAAAAAACGCGCCAGACATACAACGAGGCAGCTTCGTCGATCCACACACCTCCAACTTCGAGCGCCAGGACGACGAGGCAGATACCTGCGTTCCTTCCGCTTCGGCTCAGCGAGGCGGCGCCTCCGACCCAGAGGGCTCCAGGGCTGACACAGCCTCGCTTCGACGTCCCACAAGGAAGCGTCACTAAGCAATCCACGCGGCCCAACCCCAGCGCTGCCGTTTTTTTCCGGGCCTGAGCGAGGGCGACGACGGCACGACCCAAATCACTAGTGCTTGTCCGAAGCAAGACGATGAAAACTAAGAAGTCTCACTGGATGCCGAAGAGCGTGCCGGAAGAGCGCAGTGGCCCAAACGGAGCCGTGCGCGCGTGAATCGACGTCAGGCGGACGCAGGGCCCTCAGCGTCACTGGCACCAGCAACAAAGGGGGTGTGTTCCGTTAGATGGGGTGCTCATTACCGTTTCTTGGGGGGTGCACCCTTCATCAAGCATCAGCTGGTACATCTTACATTCCACATGCCCACTGTACAGGTATTCATCTCCTCCCCACAGTGCCCGTTTTGGCTTGGACCAAAAAGACATGGAAATCCAGGCGACCCTTTCGAACCTGGACGCATGAACATTTGGAAAACCTCCAAACCTGATGACGGCTTTGGGCAACGGCAAGTACGTGCCGCAAACGACGCACACCGAAAGTGCTCGCAATTCGGCGGAGGGACACTTTGAAGTCATCGCAGCGCGTTTCAATTGCACTAAAACTATTTTTCAGTAGAGAGGCTAGAATAAGGGTATCCTTTTTTTTGCTGTTTAGTAGGGGAACCTAGGTGTGGAAAGAAGACATGATGCACATCGCTGGCAATTTTTCCATCGCCTTCCACTGCCAGGTGGCTACGGAGTAGCAATGTCTAGTGGGATACTCTTGGCACAGCCGGTGATGTCGATGAAGTGAGGTTTGTAAAAAAAAAAAAAGCGAACAAACCAAGGAGTGAGAAGGGTTTGGGTTGGCACCATCACTAAACTGTAGGGAGGGTTCTAACAAAGCGAACATGTGCGCTATAGTGCCAACGACGTGGCGACGTGACGACCCGCGGATTGTGCCGTCGCACAATGCCACACGTTGTGCCGTTCCAGACGTGTCTGCTAAAGGCATGCAATGTGGTCACAGCACCCATTCATTTGTTCTCCTCTAGCGGCAATCGACAATCTTTGGATGCCTGTCTCTCAATGTATGCGGAGGTTGTCTGCAAATGACAGCACTGAAACGCGAATGAATGAGATTCGATAGGCCCTGTGCAAACCAACTACAGGGCAACGATCAAATGCTGACTCCTCCAAATCACGAGCTGCGTCGCGGCTGAACTGGTGAAACGCTCTGTGCTGGCTCACTCATCGATGTCATAGCCAGACTGCCAGGAAGATTGCGGTCAGCAAGATGCAATGGAGTTTCCAAATGTTGGCATTCCCGAGGAAGGGGCTGAGGGGTCCCAACTCCGTTTCCCTGTCTTCCTACAAATGAACATCAAATCTTTCAACAAACTGCAGGAGTCACCACTCTCCTGCAATTCCATTTGTACGGGGATGGGGATATCTCATCCTCGGACCTCACAAACCTGCCATTACAGCCCACTTTCGACCGATTCTTCCTCCCCCCCTGCCCCTCCACCGCCACTTTACGGGGCCCAACTTGCGATGCCTAGCCAAACCATGGGTTGCAAGCGAGTGAGACCCCAACATGTCCTACTGGTGACTCTCCTTTCTTGGGTAGCCAGAGTTCCCGCATGGTGCACCACCCGAAAAAAGGGGTTGGCATGTATTCCTTCTTGACCCCAAAAGGTACCAGCTCTAAAACACGACCAAACGTGTGCTTCCCCCCCCCCAAACAAATAAAAACATGTTGGGGGCAGCAGGAGAAATCACTGTCTTGGCTTAGAATTTGCCTATTCCACAAATCTAGCAATTAGCCACTTTGGATTTCGGCAAAAAGCTCGGTGTTCATCAGTGGTGCGAACACCAAGTCGCAGCAACCCCCGAGCGTCTCGCCAATTTGGCTGCGGGTCAAAAAAAGATAGGCACCCCCAAAAAAGGGGTTGCCCCGGTACATGGAGAAACATAAACTTAAATCTGCGGTCCGACTCCTGGTGATTTCATACTTCCCCCACGCCCATTTCGAGGGCCGCCCCCGCCGGGTTTGGACCGACCCAGCGGGTTGGACCCGCCTCCAAGTCATCCAGCACCGCAGAGCCGTCGCCGCTGGCGACCTGATCCGAAGCCATCGGATGGACCCCTCTGCACCGGGCCGGCAGGATGCCCAGTGGATGGATTTCCATGGGGGGAACATCTTTTTCTTTTAAGAGGGGGGGGGGGGGGGGTTTCGAGTTTGAAGAGGAACCCTTTCGCAACACAAAATGGAAAAACAAAAGCGGAAGTCACTGGGCTTCACCAATTGTCGTTTGCTGGGGTGATTTTTTCCAGAAGTACCCTTCCCTGAGCAAAAAGGTCAACCACCTGTGTGGACGGTCGAGTCGCAATCAAAACCTGGTACAAAAATGGTCGACCCAAGACCATGCAAAGAATTAAGAAGCCGGATATCCGCAGCTATTTATGGCTGGGATCATCCCTTACTAACCTTCATCTACCCGAATCGGTTTTGATTGTGGCTCATTAACATTACATGTGTTTCCCAAACGGTCGCTCCAGGCCTTGGGGCCTTTTAACCAAATCGAAGTTCTTGTGAGGCGAACGAGGTCAGGGAAGCTCAGGAGAAGCATTTCAGCTTTGCCCCGCAACCAATTATGAACTCGTTGATTCTGGTTCATGCTTCAGTGATGCTCTAAATCGATCATGATTTAAAAAGAGAAGCTTCTAGAATTCCTAAATGTGTGATTTCGTAGACCTTCAAACAGAACACCCGAGTCAACCAATGCGAACGGCGATTCTGTGCCTGGAACTTTGCCCGCAGCCGCTTGGCAAACTTCTGCTTGTCCTCGCGGGCTCTTCGCTACACGGGTCGGACTTTGCGTCCGTTGGCAAAACACGGCTCCAAACTGCTCGTCGCGAGCGATCTTTCCAACTCCGAAGTCCAACTGCGGGTGAGAGGTTTAGGCTTCCGCTTTCCAAAAAATCTATGTATACGGGGGCCTTATGCTGGCAATTCAACGCACTCCGCCCTTATCCAAAATTCTATCCTGCCATGTTGCGTCGTGCGCGCTGCGCAATCTCAAGTGACGGACTGCCTCAACAATTGAGGGATCTGCAAAGCAAAGATGGAATCAGCAAAGGACACGTTGGATGTGCAGTTTCTTCTCCCAGACCAGCAACCATGGGGGAAAAAAGGCACACTTCTTTCGGCACTTGCCATTTCTTGGGAACCGCCTCAAACAAAAAGGACAAAGACCTGCAGCTTTGTCAGTTGCTCATATCGCGGCCAAACATCGCAGCGAGCGTGTCGCTCAAAGAGGCCCTCTCCTCTCGCATCATCTCCTGAGATTGCCAGCTCGTGCAGCCCAACGGACACGCAGGCGATCCGGAATTCTGAAGCTGAAGCAACCAGAATGATTGCATTTTTTATGGGGGACGCTTTGCGTGGACACCATCCAGGTGGGCAGCACTTTTGAGGTGTTCCCTGTTAAATCATATATAGCCAAGGCAGGAATCAACAAGAAAGGGGTTTGTTTTACTCCAAAATGAGCTCGCCCATGGATCAGTGACTGTGGCAGTCCAATCCCCCAATCTAGCAAATGCTAATCAGAACTTGTGCGACTTGGCAGGCATTTAAACCCGCGGGTCGTCCCACGTCTCCAAACAGTGTTCCCCACTACCACTTAGCTTCCCCCTGTATAATTGGTGGATTGAATTGGTGGTTTGTAGTTAAGGGGGTTTCCCATCTCAACAAGAACCACAAGCTCAATTCCCCACCAATCCAAACCACCAATTGACCCCGCTAAAAGTGACTAGCTTTTAGCGGGTTAAATACGCAAACCCAACCACCAAACCAACGGATGGCCAACAACCGCATCACAAAAGGGGTGGTATCGCATCTACCCTGCCAGCCAAGGCACCAATCCAAATTGGGGGTAACCTGATCTGAACAAGAAGTGAACAGCTTTTGGTGGGTGAAATCTACATCCCCACTAAACACTGACAAGCTGAAAGGCTTTGGGTATGGCTGGGAACCACCAAGCAACGTGGAAACTGACGCCGTTGATAGACCCCGGGGCCCCGCTTTCGAACTCGAAGGCATCGGCGAGGCGCAATCAAGTACTCCGCCTCACGCACGTGGTAGGACACCTGGTTTCGACGCGCGGAAGCGGTTTGTGGAGAAAGGCGTGCGGTCAAAAGAGCGAACAAAGCAGAGGACCTGGGGTGATCTTCCCCAGTTTGGGTGGGGTGGGGGGTGGGGGTGGTGGTGGGGGTGAGGTGGAACCTTTTGTCAGGTTTGGATTGATGGTTTGGGGATTTGATCCCTGGATCTTGTGGAGGGTACATAGGAAACCATCCCTTGACCACCAAACCAACCATCCAAACCGCCAATCAGGGGAAGCTGACTTTTGTAGGTTTGATGGACAATCACAATTGGTTCCAAACAGTATTCGCGGGCTAAGGGTTCTAAAGCAAAGACCGGCCATATCTGCTGTGCTCTAGCTTTCTGAAGTGACTGTCCTTTGATGCCCTTTTTTTTGCGGACGAATTTTGGGGGAAGCTGACACTTTGGGAGGTGCTTACTACATGTTTCCCATCTCCAGCTGGCTGGGTTCGTGGCGCTCTAGACTGGCACTGACGTCCATCGGTCTCGAGCGCTGCCTATCTTTTGAGAGGGACCCCGGGTATTCCTATCCCAGCCCATGACCATTCAGCCGGCCAACAACCTGACCCGTGAAGAGCAAAAGGCCCGGCAACACAGTTCGGGAGATCAACATCCCAGCTTTTTGACCCCCCCTCCAAGAAAGACATGTGGCTGTGGCTCAAAAAACCCGGTACCCAAAATGGGTTACCCCGGTAGGTGGAAACATGGACCAAAACCTGCGGTTTGCCCCCCCTGTTGAATTTTGAGCCACACCCATGTTGGACAACGGGATCGCCCAACTTGCCCGGTCTAGAAGCCACCCGGACGCACTTCAATGCCAGCGCCTGGTAAGGCACCAGGTAGCAGGGGACGGCCGGCACCAAAACCAGCGGCCTGCGTCGCTGGGTGGCTTGGTCTGTTGGGTTTGTCTGTTTGTCTGTTTGTCTGTGGGTTTGTTTGGGTTTGTCTGGGTGGGTTTTGACGAAAAATGCTGTTCCCACTACGCAAGTCTAGAAACTCAGGCGAGTAAGAAGCACGCGGTTTTTGCACACCATGAATTTTCATACCAGCTTGTGATGAACTCACATCCTCAACTGACTGATGTCCACCATTTCGGGTCCCAATTCAATGCAAACTTCAAACAACAAAACGCAGGCTCCGACGGTTGGATTCCGATCCGAGCGGCAGCTGAGCCCTGTACCCAACGCGGTTGAATCTGTTTGACCCCTCCCAGGACCATAGACTACCAGCGGGTTTGACCAAACATTACATCCCCATTGAGACCCAGCGAGCAAGCTTCCTTCCTTCATGGGATCCACCCCCCTCCCTCTGTTCCCCCAAAATAAGGCTGATGAAGGTTGCATTTGCGGGAAACCGGGTGGGGAGGCAGGGCGGGGGTTGGGGGAGGGTGTTAGGGGAGGGTGTTAGGGGGGGGATAAGGTTTGGGGAGGGGGTTAAGGGAGGGGGTTAGGGGAGGAGCGTGGATCCAACCATTCCCGCGTTTTCCCAACGTTGGCTATCCCTGAGCACGGGCGCCCTTGTCGGCGGTGCAGACAGCTGCACAGCTACACAGCACCACTTTGACAGGTGCGACATGTTTCGATCCCTGGGAGCAAACGTCATGAACCTGTCGCCGAATGCCACATCCTGTTAGATACAATGAAATTTCGCCAAGCTGAAATAAGGTGTTTGTCAGGGAAGCTTCATCATGGGTGAGTTCGCGGCCCCAAGCCATCGCACCGTCCGCAAGTTCTCTTTGATTTGCCCAAATCTACGGAAAATCAGCCTGGTTGTGCTAGCCATGTGTCAGCCACAAAAGCAGCCAACCGGCAAGTTGGCTGGAAATACCTTTCCAAACATAGGTGGCCTTTTGGAAGATTTGATGGCCCTGGTAAATGCAACAAGCCCCATCCAAACCAGTGCCATCTATCTTTAAACAAACTCACCTAGAAAGGGCACCTATGCTTCCAAATGGTTGGTCAACGCAAACCAACCGTCCCACGTAAATGGTGTCCACCACCGGTGCCCCAACGAAAATTGGGGCATACCCTCCAACCCACACAACATGCAGTTGAACACAGCCGAACCTTTGGGCGCGAAATCGTGCTCACCCCCTGGAAACGGCGCCCACAGTGCTTGCCTTTGTTGAACCATGTTGAACCTTGCTGTGAGGGGGGGCGCGCAACTTCCATTTGTTTGAGCAACCAAACAGTTAAACAGAGGGTCCAAAGGGCAAACCTTGGCAAAATGGGATTCGGCAAAACCAAGACACAGATTGGCCTAAACAAGTTGTGTTGTTTACGCTGGCGCATGGACGCTTTCAAGCAACCTGTTGTTTGCCACTTGAATGGTCTTCCCCAAAAACATGACGTCCAGGCTCGCTGGGAGTGATGAGTTTGTGTGTTTGTGTGTGTGTGTGGCTCTTGCCTTCTTTGGTTGTTGTTGACAGTTGGAGCGCCCCGGCCATGTCCCGAACTTCCTTTGTTCCGTACATGAGGAAGTAAATGAATCCCATGTACTTCACCACCCTTGGTATGGTAGCAAACAACTTGCTACTTGTTTGCAGCCCACTAAAAATCAGCAGAACCCAAACCACAACCCTTGGTATGGTAGCAAAAACAACTTATGTTTGTTTGCAGCCTACAAAAAAATGAGCAGGACCCAAAGACCAGAAAAAAAAAAAAAAAAACACAAAAAACAAGGCACTTGCCAGCTCAGCTGTAACCAGCAGTTAAGAATAGTGAGGCGCGAGCTCAGCTTTCATCGGCTCCCCGGAACCCCTCAGCCGCTCAGCCACTCAGCCGGCTCGTGGCCGCTTCTCTGCAGACTCCTCCAAAACGCAGCGAGCGTGGTCTGGAGCTTGGGTAACATCTTGGCCACAAATTTGGCAATTTGGGGCACACACAAAGAGTATATATATATATATATGGTCACCCCCCCCCCATGATCCACATTTTGCCTCTTGCAAGCAAAAAACGCTGGAAAAACACATGTAAAATGCTTGCTTTTGACCACCTGTTCCAGGATCAGATTCTGATCCTGGAAACTTGGGTCAAAAACAAGCATCATTCTTGATGAGTAGATTAGTCAAAGATTGCTAAAAAACCAAAAATTCCTTGCCAGAAGGAGGTTTGTGTGCTCAAGACTGTTTCTGGAATGGTTTTTTAGGTTTTTTTAGGGGCAGTACAATTTTAGGGACAGTACAGCACTTTTAAGCATGCAGAAAGTGCTGCACTGTTTTTTAAAATTGTGGATGTGGGAAGGCAGTAGCAGATGTTTGTCACTCCGACGAGCTGGCTTGCATTTTTCTTGCCTTTTTCCTTCGAGCGCATATCCGGTAATCACTGCTTGTGCAGTGCCTGCAGCATCTGGCCGGTCACCTCCCACATATTAGCGCGGCGATGCCAGTACTCAAACTGTGCGGATCTCAGCTTTCGCAAGAGAACCTGACTGCCGGGGATTCTATTCGTGTGTTTCAGGTGAGATCGAAGGGTGTTCCAGAACCGGTCGATGATCTGGGTGCCGCTCTTCACACGCACCTTCTTCCCGTCCGGCAGCTTGACGTCGTACTGCTTGGTGTAGTGGGGCTTCACCCAAACGGCCTGACAGACAGGAATAACAGAATCAAGTAGATCCCTTAAGAGGCAGTTAAAGCAGTTTAGGTCAGAGTTACTTGCCTTGCCGTTGATGACGATGCGCTTCTTCTTGTGCACGACGTTGCAATGCCTCACGTCCGGCAACCTGAGCTTGTAGGCTCTGGCCCCATCGCTGTGGAGGATGACTTTCCGGCCCGCGATGTGCTTTTTCGCAATCGGCTGCCAGTCCCTCTTCCTGATGGGACCTGGCCCCGGAGATCTCTTTTTGGTGAGGATGGGGTTGAGCCTGAAGAGCACCAGCGAGGATGGCCTTCCTCGCTCCACGAGTCCACCCCACTGTTCCCATTTCGTGTTGAGGTTTCCCGCCACGCTCTCGTCGGTCAACTTGCCAATGTCGACCTCGTCCACCTCCACGTCCTCCCACTTCCCGCCGAAGACAATGTCCTTCTCCTTCTGGGTGACGTACTGCGAGCGAGCGACCTCCAGGTTGTGGTAGATGCGCTCCACTGGCTTGTGGTCCATATCCAGGAGCAGGTGCGCCGCATTGCTCGAGACCCCCACCACCGCGCAGAAGAGGACCGCCACCTGCTTCTGAAGTGGAGTTGAAGAATTGCCAGCAGACATGAAGAAGATGGGATGGTAGTCATGAGGCTGAAGTTGCTTGTGGCAGGCACGCTTCTTGCACCGGTACGCCCAAATCTTCTTGTCATGGTAATACTTCAGGGGCCCCATTACGCCGTTGCCACATCGAGGGCAAGTTCTGCCTTCCCAGTCTGTGAGGATCTTGTCCTTGTGGAGCTGCTTGTGGAGACGCTGTCCAGTCAAAGATTCCCAAGTCAAAATCGAACGCCCCCAGCGCGCTCTGTGGCCTTTGTTCTTGGTAGTGGGCATGCCATGGCGGACATATGGCACCGGAGCAGGATTCTTTGAGGCAGGCCTTTGCTGCACGCGCCACTTCCCCCGCTTAGGATCTGGGAACTTGGCCTTCACGGACTTCATGACCTTCTTTGGCATGATGGGCAAGATCAACTACAAAGGATCAAGGCGATTGAAGCAGATGGCTGCGTAAACGATCAATGCGATTCGCTTCCAAGCAACATGTGCAAGCAAGATGGCACTGGAGACCTAATGTTTTTTTAGCCAAGCTCCATGTCTCTATTGGGTTTATATTTCTATCTTCTAGAACAAAATCCGCTGAGTGCGGCTCACACGCGGCTCAGTTGTCGTCAATGTCCATGGCATCCGCGAGTTCTTGGGAAAGGGTTCGGTATGCCTCGATGTCATACTGGTCGGGAATCTCGTCCATAGGGTCCACCACATCAGGAGAAGAAGCCGGCAAAGGCACAAGGACCTTGGTCTCATCCACCACATCGGCTGCTGGAGGAGCTGTAGGGTCAGAAAGCTTCTCCACAGGGTCCACCGCATCAGCTGCAGCCGGTGCAGCAGAGGCTGGGTCACTTGCATCCTCAGACGTGTCTGACAGGTTGATCACCAGAGGGCGCAGGTTCAATGGCTTGGAAAAGTAGGAGGGATCCACTGGCTCTTGCTTGATGTGCACCTTATGCGTCTCCTCTGGTTCTTCTTTGATACCCTGCACGTCCTCATCCTTCTCTTCTTCTTTTGTTTTCTGCTCATCCTCGTCCTTCGGCTCGTCTTTGGCATCCTGCGCATCTTCGTTCTCCTTCTGTTCTTCTTTTGTTTTCTGCTCATCCTCGTCCTTCGGCTCGTCTTTGGCATCCTGCGCATTCTCGTTCTTGATCTCCTTGAGCAAGTTGGAAGAGGACTTCACAGATCGAAGCTTCTTAGTGGGCGGCTCGTCGACGGCAGCGCCAGCATCCAGGTAGTACTTGGTCTTGCCCTCAATGCCCGCGAGCGTTGGTCGATCTTCAATGACGTACTCCCTTCCTGAGAACAGTTCTTTCCCACGGGTGGTCGCACAATAGCGGACCTCCTCGCCATCCAGCGCAGCCTGCAGCAAGTTCAAACTCCACTGCATGTCTTTGTCATGATCTGCCGGCAAGTGAGAGAGGTTACGACGGATATAGGCGAAGCCCTTGCGGATGTCCTTCGTCTCTTTGGGCATTTTGCTCGAGGCACCGGCGGACACGAGCTTCTGGTAGCGGACCTGGAAGCCGCCCAGCCCCTCGAGCATGTACTGTAGTCCTCGACCACCATCGCGGTACTTGCCCTGCAAGTCAATCTCGAGTGGAACGCCCTGGCACATAGAGATAATGGAGCTGTGGAGGACCTTTGCACCTTCTAGGAATTTGATGTGCTTAATGATGTCTTTCTTGCCCC